AACCAAATTAGGCAAAAATAAATTACCCGAATATTTTCTATTCAAAATATTGAAGATATTCAAACTATCTGATATTTAAATTGTAGGATAGTATACATTTAAAATTAAATAAAAACGTATCATATGCATAGTTAGAATTTGTAAAATAAATAAACATCTATACTATTAAAATCTCCAACCCATTTTATTTTTATATATAAAATTAATCATTTAGTTCATGTATAAAAATGTAATATAAAATTTTAATAATTGATTGTTTGTAATTAACTAAATCAATGTTTCGTAGTTGAATATTTGACACCAAAGCTTTTTAAATTCCAATTTATGTAAAAATATTAAATATATTAAAGTATAATATAGAGATTTATTGTTAGAGTAATTATGTAGTAGAGTATTGGAAGTAATAAATGAGTTCACTTAAATTATAAAGTATTTATATAGTTAGAGAAATAGTATTTATATAGTTAGAGAAATATAAGGGAAGACCAAAAAATGTTAATCTAATGAAAGGGTACAAACAACTTGTATAAGTAGATTTTTTTAGGACTCCTTCTCTTTTAATAGTATTGATAGAAATGAAATGTATTTTGTTTAATAAATATAACGACATGGGTGCGCAAATGCAATGATTGGAGGATGGATACAAAGGAAGACCGAGTCCTAGACACACAGAAGTGGCGTTTGTAACAACCGGAGAATTGAAGCGTCTCCACGACGCATTTCTAACACTCTGCAACACTTTTCCTTTCCTCGTAATTAATGTCAACTGAACCGAATCAAACCAAACCAATCTTTAAATTTTGGTCGGTTATAGCTTTATGGGGTTCTATACCAAATCGGAACTATTCTAAAATTATTTCGGTTTTGATTGTTTTGGTTCGATAATGATTAGTTCAATTTTATTTTTTTAACTAGAAGATCATCCACACATTATATATATTCTATATTAATTCATTGATAATCACTAATTATAATATTATAATGATAAATTATTTATGTTTTCATTTGAAATATTTTACTTATCATAACTCTGCAAAAAGTTCTTTATATATTATATTTTATAGATATAAATCTTAATAATCCCTTAATATTCTTTTTTTCAAATTAAGACTTTTACTTACCTAATATTTATTATGTTTTATAATTTTTAACTTTAATTTATTTTCAGATAACAAATTAAATAATATATATAACAATTTATTTTTTATTTTAAAATATATTTTTAGATTTCAGATTATTCTTGTTATTATTAATTTTAAGCATTTATCTAATCAAAATTTTAAATTTAAATTTATTTTGTGACTAATATATATATTATTCATTAAAAGGTATAATCGATATTAATCACTCTAACTTTTCTTGTAATTGTTCAAATACACAAATCACTTCTCAAATAATAATATAAATTTAAAGTAAACAATTTATCCTACTATTTGGAACTGAATTAATCAAAATAACCAATACTAAATGACTTGTTTTTGAATTTAGGTATTTAACCCAAATTTAACCAAAATCTAAATTTTGGTTCAGCTGGATAAGAAAATTGAAAAACTGGATTAATCAATAGTTCAATACACTACTAAACCATAGCTTTTCCGGTTCAGTTCATATTTTTCAAACCACAAAAAATCGAACTACCGACTCGAATAAACCAGACTAACCGACCTGCATGCGCCCACTCGTCCCCCTTCACTTCACTTTTTTCCCCCTACAAACACCTATATATAAATATACCTAATACATCTACAGATACCTAAATAAGAAAAATAAATAAAAAGTAATCGATGACGATGATGATCAATCCAGATACAGATCTCATCGATCGTGGCGGATCAATCATCGTTCGCGAGGTCTGGGCTTACAATCTCGTCTCCGAGTTTCACCTCATCAGCGCCGTCGTCGAAGATTTCCCCTACATTTCCATGGACACGGAGTTTCCCGGCGTCATCTTCAAGGCGGATCCGGCTTTCCTCCGCCGTGGAAACCCTGGTTACCTCTACAAGCTCCTCAAATCCAACGTCGACGTCCTCAGCCTCATCCAGGTCGGGATCACTCTCTCCGACGCCGACGGGAACCTCCCGGATCTCGGCGGAGGCGTCGACGGGAGCCGATTCATCTGGGAGTTCAATTTCCGCGACTTCGACGTGGATCGCGACGCGCACGCGGAGGACTCGATCGAGCTTCTGCGTCGCCACGGGATCGATTTCGAGCGTAACCGTAGCGAAGGCGTGGAGTCGGTGAGGTTCGCGGAGCTGATGATGTCGTCGGGGTTGATCTGTAACGAGTCGGTTAGCTGGGTGACGTTCCACAGCGCGTACGATTTCGGTTACTTGGTGAAGATCCTCACGCGCCGGGAGCTTCCGAGTTCGTTGAGGGAGTTTCTGTTGTTGCTGAGAGCGTTTTTCGGGGAGCGAGTGTACGACGTGAAGCATATGATGAAGTTCTGCGAGAGGAGATTGTATGGCGGTTTGGACCGGTTGGCTAGGTCGCTTCAGGTGGACCGGAAGGTTGGTAAATGTCATCAGGCCGGTTCGGATAGTCTGCTGACGTGGCATGCGTTCCAGAGGATGAGGGACTTGTACTTTGTTAAGGAAGGGCCGGAGAAACTCGCTGGAGTTTTGTATGGTTTAGAGGTTTTCTGAAGAGGGAGGGAGGTTATTGGAATTAAATTAATTATCTTCAATTTTAATCATTTGTAGTTAATGTTTAAACCGTTTATAAACTAGTTGGTTTATTTGGTTTTCTATTTTATTTTTTTCGATTAACTGAAATCTAACCGGGTCAAAAGAGACTTTTAAGGTTGGTTTTCTAAGTTGCATCTACTATACTGAGAGTGCAACATAACTCTGGATTCTCTGAGATTAGATTCTATGTACAGATTATATGGTGGTGCTTGTGTTGTGGTATGGTAACTTCAGCTAGCTGTAGATCTAGTAGCAGTGGATTGTTCTCGTTTTGGGCTCGATGGAGTCTGTGGCTGTTCCTGGGTTGCGTTGCTTGGTCCAGCAGCGCCTTGATCATATGAAACCATCTGGTGGTTCCAGTTCGGTCCAGCGCCTTGATGAAATGAAAGCATCTGGTTGTTCCAGTTCGGTCCAGCTGATGATAACAAAGTTAAAGAAGGTTTAAGCAGGATAATAATTGGGTATGAAAAAACTCAAAAGCTCAAAGAAAGATCAAAGCAGAGTGAGAGAGTAAACGATACATTCGTTAGGCCACATGTCTGTGATGCTGACTTCGCCTACCTCTGAACGTAGCCAGTAATCTACATCCATCTGTGCATAATGTAACATTCAGATAATTAATTAGTTAAGCTTTGACAATCTGACTCGTAAATTTATATCTTAGAGTTTTTTTCCCATCACAAGGAGCTGGCTATATGTTCTGAAGTTTGCAGACTGATTATGAATGTGGTAAAATAATTAAACGCTGAAGAAGGTGGGACTTACATCCAAATCTGGAGGAACAATCTTCATGATACCATCAACAAAGTCATGAGATTCTATGTCGGAGTAAACCCTTCGTGTATCATCAACTTCTTGCTTTTCAATGTGTTTTCCGGTGCTGTCATCCATCGAGACGGCTACATCTTGGTTCTCAGGGACACCAGAAGTTGATGGAACATTTGAAGGTTCATCAACATTGGGAATGTCCTCAAATCTCTCTTCGAATTGACTTTAAAACAATAAAAAATGTCAGACTGGCTTCAATTTTATAAATTGTATCGTTGGCAAGCATAATCCTTGAGGACAGGATTTACCTGACTAGATACACGTCTATTGGTCCCATTGTGCTTCTCAGAATTATTCTGTATCTCCTCTGAGGATAACCACCAGCCTGATAAGTGAAAAGAAGATGAGTTATTTAAATAGTTACAGACAATGTATAGCTCATTAGTTTATGTGCTCTTAAGCATACCTCATCAGGATCTGGCACCTCAAGAGTTGTTCCATGCGGTGCCTTTACAGCGATCAGCGTCTTATTCTAAAATAGGCATGAGAGATACCACGAAATCGGTATATCCAGTCAGCAGAATGCAGGTTAAAGAGAACCACGTAATTACTAGAAGGAGACCAAACCTGGAAGCATGGGAGGTTCTTAATATCGTCTTCAGTAACAAAAAGAAGCCTGAAAAGTTGAGAGGCAGATTAAACAGATATGTTGTAATGTACCTGCCGCTAGGAGAAATAGCAGGAGAAGCTTACCTTTTATTGTTTTCATCCTCGCTCAAGCTTGTTAATCTTTCTTGTGATTCTCTGCAACCAGGTCGATGCTCAATAAGTTACATCAACAGCAGAAAACAAAAAGAAAACAATCTACGAGAATACCTGATTTGGTCATCTAATATTGCCTCCTCAGCTGTGAGGTTTTGTATTTCATCCTATACGAGGATCAAAGGATAACTAAATGTCAAACTAAAACTGGTAACAGAAATATGAATAATAATCCCAATAGTTTTGCAAACAGAGGACGAAACAAAAGATGAATGAATGACTGATGTCAAAGGAAAATTGCAGTAACCAAAAACTATTCATTGACTCATATTGGTAACTTGGACTGTATGAGAAACATAAACAAAAGCCATCATTCAAGTACTAGCATGATGGAGTTTCTGTTACATGTCGTCCATGTTTGTGTTTGTGGTGTATTTACTAGTATCCTAGTTACACAGTCTAGATCTCAAAGAAAAGGTATAACAAGAACTATACACATGCGGACTCATACGATGTTCAAGAAGACAATGTTGAATTAAACATATACCCACGTAAAACTATTAAAAAAACTGGTGATTAACTGAGCATTGCACAACATAGTTTGCAGTGGAACATCAGAACATGCGACAGTTTAAAGAATACATAACCATGTTCTATACCTGTAGGTTAGCTATGTTTTCCATTGTTTCTCCGGGTTTTGAGACATCGAGACCCCTAAACAGGCAAAAGAAATCAGAAAACCGTGAGTCACACGTGAAGCATCAAATCAAAGAAATCCAAGATTTGATATTCGGATGACATGCTTACTTCCACTGAATTCTATTCTTGAGCGTCTTCTCTATCAAACCTATTCCTTCTAACACATTGGTTATGTCGTATATCCTTCGCTTTTGTACCTGCATCAACAACAGGAACATGCCGTTGAGATTGGACAGAAAGTAATACCTCAAGAGGGCAGTTAAGAGCTTGAATACGTCACCTCTAAAGTTTCAGCTGCTTTATTCAGATCAAGAATACCATCTTCTGCTTGTTTTATCAAATTGATAAATTTCTTTGTCAAAAGACCTGAAGAAGATTAGATCATTAAATACGGTTTTTTCTTATCGAAAAATACTTTCCGTCAAACACTAGTTTGTGCAATAAGTTATTACCTAGAGAACTATCATACCGACAAGAACCGGCCTGTGCAAAGTTATTTCCAGGAGAACCTGCCAACACAAAAAAAATGATCCTTCTCACTACATTGCAATTAATTATACATTCTTTCATTCATGTAATGTTAGACAGTTATCTCAGAACACATAAGTAAATATTCATCATTGGCCAACATACAGAGCATTTCAGGCCAAACTCACCAGCATAAGGATCAGAAGCTTGCATTCCAGTTTTATTAGACTTGAAAGACCTAGATGATTTCTTGGCCTTCCCTCCTTTCCCTGATACAGGTGTTTGCAGAACACCAGTATTCAATTCACTGGGCTCATCTACCTGGATTACCATATCTGTCAGCTGCCAATTAATAAAAGACAAGAATTATAAAGTTAGATTACATATAAATTTGGAAAACTAAACCCCGTTAAACAGATGAATTACATATAAATTCCTATAATCTTATCCTAACGGAACCATACTAACACTCCGCTAAATCCATAGATATTCCAATGGCCAACATAGCACAAAATCTACTCTAAATAGCAAGTTAGTCATATACAATAACTCACTTTGCAATGCTAAAAATCCATATACGAGCCCAATCAAAGAGATTAATTACACACACAGGCGTAATCAAATTATAGCACACAATTCGCCATCAAATTATAGCACCAAGCAAAGCCTCGAAATCGAATTGTAACTGACAACTTTCAAAATTCTTAGCCGAAACTGACAGTAGACGACTTACAGAGGATTTGATAACGATCGCCTCAGAGACCTGATCAGAACCTCCGCCTCCGCGACTCTCCGCCGCGTCGAACCGGTGATACTCTCCCGGAGCAACTAGCGGAGGCTTCATAGAAGCTACAGAAGGATGATGCTGCCGTTTAGGAGGTGGATGTTGCTCTTGATGAGAGTCCGACATGGGAGCGAATCTCGAGAATCTCCACGGCGAAAAAAAGCAATCTCTAGAAATTCGGATCTCCGGGGGAGTAGAGATCCTGAGAGGTTTAACGGAGGCAGATCTGGGGATGAGGTTGCGGAGATTCCGGGAGGGGAATGTGAGCAGATCGGCGCAACGAACGAAAAAAAAAAGCGGGAGAGGAGAGAAGAAAAAAAAAAGAGACGGTGGAAGAAAAACGAGGGAATGAGTTGCGTTTGGTTCAGATATTGATGTGGAGGGAAGAGTGCACAATCTTTCTCTTTTACTCCCTAACCAACGAATAATCTTTGAGATAATCCTCTCCTTTTTTTGTATATTTATTATATATATATAATTATATTTTCGGTTTGCAAATTAATACAAATTTTCTGTTAGAGAAATTCTCTATAATAGATCTAAATTTTTTTTGTCCCAAATATAAACTTTTTGTTTAGTGTTAAGGAGTGGAGTTTTAAAGATAAGATTTTAAATTTTTAAAAATAAAATAATAATTTAAATTTTTTAATATAAAACATGTTATTTTGATCATTTTAGTTTTTGAAATATATTTTTGTGATAAAAAACTTAAAAAATGTCTATTTGAGATATTTGTCTTTTCTGTTAAATAAATTAACAAAAATAAAATTGGTTTATTATGCTATTACATAATATAAAAATATTATATAGATAATTTTGACATTCAACAATTTTTCATATATCTTTATGACCAAAATCTTTGTTTGATTGGCTCTACGATATGCATCGTTATTATAAAAAAAATTGCAAATATTTTTTCATTAATTTAGATGATTATCTTTTTTTTTTTTTTTGCTTAGACAATTTACATGATTATCAATAAATTATTTTGTGTTTAACATTCAGAATCCAAATTTATGTTAAAATCTACAATAAACATTACCATTGAAATTAGAGAACTCCCACAATAAGTTCATAAAGTTATGCAATCTAATTTTTGGATACTGTTTTATTGTGTTCAGTGCAGTACGAATCTACTTTGCATGTCGGGGGATATAGAACCCTACAGATGGTGGTTGTCAGTAAAAAATGATGTTGGCTAATTGGATTTATTCATGTGTTTATCAGACTGTCCCATCCGTTGCATGCGTTAAGCGTGAGTGATTATCTGTCAAGCATATACATTTTTCTGAATAATATTCATGTAGCACATATATAACAGGATAATACAACCGTTGATACAGTATTTACATATTGTTTTTTCCTTATTAAAGGGAGTATTTAGATAATGCTCGTTTCTTTGATTACTGTACTAAGTTTTGGTTTGGTTTGCATAACCAAACGGGTAAGCCCTTGGAACTGGCTAAACCGTAACCTCCTTAATTAGAATCCGATTAAGTACATCTAACTCATGTAATTTTTGGCATTGATAGAGATGAACATGGTACTACTTATGTGGATTTGAACCACCAAACTGAGTCTATGTCTATAGAACAGTTGTTATATGAATTCAGACACTCAAATCTCATTTGGCTGCTACGATTTTTTTCAAACACACAAGCTCACGTATGAGTAAGCAAAAGAGACACTAAGACTTTGAAAGCTTGTTGATATTAGGAAACTAGAAGCTTATGTTAGTCTTTAAAAATATATTCAAATGTGTAAATGCAAGAATGACATTTAATCTTCTCACTGTTCTCATGGCTTCGGGGTCACAATTTGACATCTTATATCAATATCTCCAGCTTCATCATAACTGGGGAAAAATGTCAGTTGGATTCACATCTTCAGCATCGAAGGCCACCAGAAAAGAAGATTTTTAGTGTTGATGGAGAAACCAAACTCATCTATACCATTTGTATTATTGTTAATCGGTCAATGTTTCACTTAGTTATGCATGAAAAACTACAAAATCAGACTATATATCGCTACATGTATAATTAATCCCATATTACTAATTAACTAGCTATGAGTAAAAACGTTTAGATCAGAAACTAAATATACAAATAAAAAAAAAAAAATTAACTTAAAGCCATGAACAAGTAAAATAGATATCAACGATCTGAGAGATCTCAATATCTAACAGAATTCACGTTATCCCGGAGTGAATATTCACATCGTCGCATACTTCCAAGCAACGAACCAACCACATTCCCCGCCGCATCCGCCGTAAACTTCACCGGAATATCGGTGCAAACAACCGCCACGTACCCATGTGCAGTTTCTGCCTTCAATCCAACGACACTCTCCACACGATAATCCCAAACCACGCTACCGTTAACAACCGGCGTCACCACATTTTTGAAGTCGACATTTGTAACCGGCTCATCTGTTTGGCTGGTCGTAACAAGTCTCCCGAAGTCATCCAGCGACGGAGATACCTGAGAGATAACCTCGTCGCCGCGAAGGAGACGCGACGTGACAGTATGTAGAGAGAGATTACACCCGGTGACTGGACTCTTGGCAATAAAAACGGTTCTCCAATCAGCGGTTGAAACGTTTGTGGCGTTTGAGACAGAGATGNCTCATCTGTTTGGCTGGTCGTAACAAGTCTCCCGAAGTCATCCAGCGACGGAGATACCTGAGAGATAACCTCGTCGCCGCGAAGGAGACGCGACGTGACAGTATGTAGAGAGAGATTACACCCGGTGACTGGACTCTTGGCAATAAAAACGGTTCTCCAATCAGCGGTTGAAACGTTTGTGGCGTTTGAGACAGAGATGGAGTGAGCAAAGAGGTCTACGTAACAAGTATTTTTTCCTTGGACGAGATTATTCATAACTGTACTGGCGATAGAGACGAGGAGCAAGAAAATAATGGTAACGAAGTAGACAGAGCAGCAATCTGCTGGAGTAATCCCGCCGGAGGTATCATCGTCTGGGTCTCCTGAAACGGTGGTTGAAGCTTGCTCTCTATAAGTTGACATGTTAACACTTTGTGAAAATATAGACTTAGTTAAAGAATTAATGTGTGTTTATATATTTAGCTCGCTTTTTATTTATTTAAGTTTTTGCGTAGTAGGATAAATCTCCTATTGTTGCTGATAAATGTCAACAGATTGAGCATCGTTTATCATATAATAACAAAATATTTTGATTTTATGATTAAGATTTTAATGTAGGACGAACACAATTTGTTCTGGAATCTCTTAACAAATAAAAGAAAATGTATAAATCTACTCCATTAGTTATTTATGTTTTTCTTTTTAATTTAATTTTATTGTTACAATTAGATATATTTAGTTCAAACATGTTGACAAAGGTGGTCTAATATCGAGAAAATTCTAATTTTAATTTTTAATAAAAAAATTGTTCATGTTTATCTACTATAGTCATTTATAAACTATATTAAATGTTCTAGTGTGGAATCAAAGAAACTAATAATGATGAACTAAAGAAAATTGTTCATGTTTATCTACTTTAATCATTTATATAGGTAAATATATCTATACACAGTTAGTGAATACAATATATAAAATCACTTTTTATATCTATAGATATCTGGTTAAAAGATAAACACAAAACTTTTGAAGTTAGATTTTTTTTGACAAAGCAAGTGCTATGGCCTCGATTGATACATCAGATATAAAGTAGTAGCTGCAGAAGCAATATGCTTCAGAAGTTGTATGCTTTCATTAAAGTTTTTAATAAAGTGATTGGCAGAGCATTAGCAGTATACAATTTTAAAATTTTCATAATAGTTTGTAAAATAATATATATATATTATTAATATATATAATATATTAATAATATATTATATCATTAATATATATAATATATTAATAATATATATTTTTACTAAAAATAATAATTTTTATTCATGATATACATTATATTTAAAAATGTAAAATTTATTTTTAAAATATTATTTTTTGGATATTAACATATTTTAATATTATTGAGTAAATAAATTAATTCTAATTTATATATAAATTAATTCTAATTTATATATAAATTAATTATAATTTATATATAAATAATTATTATTTATTTATTTATTGGTAGAGCACTAAATGACTCATATATAAAATTATCATAAAAGTTAATATATAATTTATTTATTAGTGTCTAAATAATATGTTTATATCAATAATATATAAATTATATTATGTTATGTTTGTTATTAATAATGAATGATATAAGTAATTATATAAATTATATTATATTTTAAATGTGAAATATTGTTCTTTTAAAAAAGTTAATTATAATTTTTATTCTTATTTTTTAAAATATAAATTTATATTTAATTATAAAATATTTTTTATATTATCAAATAAAAATAAATTAATTATATATAAATTTTATTAAGTTTTATATTTTCTATATGAGAGCATTGAGTAAAGAGCATTGGCATTTTTGGTAAATGTTCTTCTAAATACTTCTTTGCCAAATGTTAATTAGATAATAGAGAGCATATGCTAATGTTCTACCAATCAACTCCATGTAGACACTTGAAGCATTTCCAATGGGAAGATCTGCAAAACTAACTATGAAAATAAAATTGTTTCTAAATATAAATAAAAAGCAAGAGAGAGATTGATACAATTTCTCAAATGAATGTCTTCTATACCCACTTGAAGTTGTGAATGTTTATAAATTGAAATAATTTCTCAAATGACATGGCTTAATTAAGTCGCATGTCCCTATGTATCTTTTTGTATCTAGTAATAATAATAACACCAGATGACTAAAAAACCTTAAACGGGGTTTACTGTTAGATAAGCATTGATATATTGATATGTGGGAAAAGAGAAGAAATAAAACAAAACCTATATAGTTCATAACAGAAAATAAAACAAGGAGATGGAAAACAAAACAGACTAGAAGCCTAGTTCAAATATTCAATTGTCCCTCCAGACCTTTCCCTATATGGTCTCTTTAAAATCAACAACCTAAAGTGTGTAAACGAGGATTCGCATATTATCTTCTCACCGCCTCGAGTCACATTTTGGCACCGTATATTAAAGAATCCAGCTTCATCATCATCCACGTAACGTTTATGCTTCGCCACGAGTTTGATCTTAAGCTCTTCCGAAACGACGTCGCTTCGGTTTCCCTCCTCAGGAGCAACGAAAGACAACGAGAAAGCCGTGTGATCTCTAGAAACACGTTTACTAGTGATGTTTAAAACTGCGACGTTTTGAGAACCTAGACTCACTGCAGCGTCATCGCCGTCGTAGTAGATAGAATACCTCGAGCTCGGATTTTTCACGAGAAAATCGCCTTGCCACGTGGCGGAGGAGACGGCGGAGGACTGGAGGGAGATTTTGGCGTGGATGTGAGCTTTGTCGATGAACAAAAAGATTAAGGACACGAGGACAACGGTGAAGAAGCCGCCGCAAAAAGGTGCACAGATAGCCGCCACATCCTTGCAACTGCATTTACGTCCCTTGGAATTCACCACTGGACGTGACCACCACCGAGGAGGAGCGACGGAGAACGGTGGCGTTTGATCAAAGTTGGTTCGGTAAGTCATTTTTTTTTGTTGGTTTGGGCGTTGAAGAATGAGATTGATGTTACGTTATCATTAAATATATAGAGATTATTGGAATATCGATCTCTCAATTTTTGTTTATTTATTTATTTTATTTTAAGGTGGATAAAGAAAGGTTTGTTAGATAAATAAGAGAATGATACAAAAAGAGGAAGATAATTACTTTAATTAATTATTAATATAAGGAGGAAGTAATCTGTAGGATGGTGTTGTCGCTTCTAATAGTCCTGCGCAAAAAAAACTGGAATCTAAAAATCGAACTGAAATACCTAGAACCAAAATCAAACCAAAGTTCTTAAATATCTGAATGGTTCATATATATCTATACTAGAAAAACTTAATCTGAACCGGAACCGAAACGAGAACCGAACAGGTATCCGAATACCCAAAAAAACAAGTTAAAGTTTTTAAATATATGATAAAATAACATCAAACCCATTTGAACACATGTTTGATACAAAGATTAAGTACATTTTTACGATCATACCACATTATGTTTTATTTATTCTCTTATACTATAAATATATATAGTCCTTCTAAATTAAAACACTATAAATATTTATAAAATTACCAATTTATTGATTCGAACTCTTGTTGAATTAACAAATATGTAAGTGTATAAACACTAGATCATTTAAATTAACATATTAACTAATATATTTATATATATATATATATATATATATATATATATATATTTGATTTATATATTAAATAGGTACCCGGAACTGAACCGAAACCTAACTGGAACCAAACCGAAATCTCATAAGTATCTATTGGGTATAAGAATGATTTATCCGATATACCTGGAACCGAATGTTTCCTACCCAGAATCGAACCGAATATCAGAATGCACAGACCTAGCTTCTGAGAGTCCGACATGGGAGCGAATCTCGAGAATCTTCACGGCGAAAAAGCAATCTCTAGAAATTCGGATATCCGGGGAGTAGAGATCCTGAGAGGTTTACAGAGGCAGATATGTGGCTGAGATTTTGGGAGGAGAATGTGAGCAGATCGGCGAAATGAAAAAAAAAAGTGGGAGAGGAAGAGGAGAGAAGGGGAAAAGAAAGAGACAAGGTGGAAGAAAAACGAGGGAATGAGTTGCTTTTGGTTCAATTATTGATGTGGAGGGAAGCGCTTGAGAGAGAGAGTACACAATCTTTCTTTTTTCTCTCAAGATTTAATATATTAAAAAGGTCAAAGCATTACAAATTACATAACCCGAATGAACCCGGGTTCAATACAACCACCCAAATGGGCCTCAAACCCAACATAACACCTAAGAGAGAAAAACGCCGACGGCCGTCACACAGATCGGAAGAAAAAAAGACGGACACGTTTACCATCCTTGACACTGAGGGACACGCGTCACAAGGACCATCGCGTCACCACTACTACTCGCTACCACTGGAGAACCAAACCTCAGTTCACCGGACCACACCGGAGCTCCATAACTCCACAAATCTTCACCGCAACCACTTTCAAATCTACATAGTGGTGGTTGTCAGTAAAAATATGTTGGATAGTTGGATTTATCCATGAGTTTATCAAACTGTCGCATCCGTTACACGCGTTAAGCGTGAGCGATTGTTTGTCAAGAAGCATATACCTTTTCTGTCATGAGTTATATATAAGGCATATTTAATTAATTATTTCTTCATTAGTTCTTTATATAATTTATTTAAACAAAACAACTTATGTGGAGAGTACATGGAATCTGTCTACAATATTTTGCATTACTTTATAGTATCCATATGAGATGGTGACAGTGATGACCCATGGGTCTGACTTTGGATCTCTTTGCGTGATGGTTTTGTTGGTGTTGGTAAATCTTTATCGCTGACCTTCCTGATGGTTTGTTGGTCTTTACAATTGGTTGCTGGGTAGCTTGGTTCTTTTACAACGGGATCACGTATGGTTTGTCATATATGTCGGTTTTAGTTTCTTTGCTACCATTCATTTGTGTTTAGGCTTTACTATACCTGTTTTTAAGTTTGGTACTGAGTCTAATGACTGTTTGTTTCTCTGGTTCATTGGAGTTTGATGGTGACGTTTTTGGGTGCTTGTCATCCATGTTCAGTTTGTTCTTGGTTCTAGTCAGAGGAGTATGCATTGCTATATGTTTCATGGTGATTTCTGTTTAGGTGTTTACTAGTTGTGGCCTTTGTTGTCCAACTTTGCTGCATTCAAAAGTTTTATGAAGATTGATAGGTCTTAGCTTGCCGGACTATGAAGCCATGGATTCTTTTTCATGGCGATATGGTCTCTTCCGGAAGAGGTAATCTCCCATCATTGTAAGAGAGGCCGAGGAACATCCATGTGTTCTTGCTTTGTGAGTTAGGCTCTTATTTACGTTCTCATGATCCTTTGGGTCTTTGATTCTCTTTTACCCACATTTGTATGGGTACCAATGCCTACCGGTGACCAGATTGAGTTTTTGTTGTTGACCATTTGTAAGAGTATTCTTAATTTAATAACAAGTGTTAAAAAAAACAACTTATTTCCTTAAATTACTCATCGACATAACAATCTTATCTTACTTACCTTAATTACAAGATTCAGTCAATAGTTGAGTGATAATTTTTCCCAACAAATGTAATTATTCAAACTTATTTCCTACATGTGATGTTTATGTTGGCCTGTCTTATAAAATAGTCTACTTTCATTTACTGCATGATTTTATATTAAATATTAAATGGTTAATTTATTTTAATCCTACATTTAAGCTCCTAAATAGTTTTATCGAATTTTATGAATTCTATATAACAGTAACCAACCTTATTATACAAGAATTTTAATTATTGCTTAATAAAATCTCATACATGAACGTGAAATATCAAAATTAATATTTCATTAATCATAGTTCCATTATTATTAGGTTTTCTATAAATTTTACTGAATTATTTTATCAAAAATCCTGAAAATTTGATTTTATCCTAATTATTCAAAATTATTCGAAAATAGGTATTGAATCTAAATAATTTGAACTCGGATTTTACCAGGTTCCTAACATTATTATTCCCACCAAGCCCAAACAAAAAAAACAGCCAAACCAAAACCAAATTTAAATTCCTAAAAAAACAGAGGTTCTGATTTTTTAACTGAAAAACCAAAAACCACAACTGAACAAGAACTGAACAAAAAAAAAATTGGAATTAAACCGAAAACCAAATTTTTATGCCTAAATATATTAGTGAACTAATATAAGGGTTAATATACTATCAACAAAAAATAAAAATAAACCAAAATCAAACCCAAATTCATAAAGAACCAAACAATTTCTATATTTTCTGGATTGAAAAACTGAAAACCACAACTGAATTGGAACCCAGAAAAATGGAATTGAACCGAAAACCAAACATCCTAATATATTAGGGAACTAACATACATGTTAATAAATTATCAACAAAAAATATTTTCCATGAAAGAAATTGGAAAAAAATGACAAGGAATTTGTAAGTTTTTGTTTACCGAACATAACCGACAATGATCGCCGGACCAACCGAGATATTGAACATTGAAGGGTAAAGATGGTGACATTGGAGAGTACTCTTTATCACCGTGCACCATTTTGATGTTAACGGTTTTGATAAATTCATCTTCACCATTTTGATGTTAACGGTTTTTTACAATGAAACTTAAATCAATCAAGCATTTGTGAGGCAAGTTCTTATTATCCTAATACAATTGGACAGTTTTTTAACTTTAGCTAATAACCTCATCCTAATAATTCGGGTTAATCATAATCTTATAAAGATGGAAGTGACATAAAACAATAAAAGAAAAAGGATTAATTATGACTAAAAAATACAGCGTTCGTTTTTAATCAGAAACTAAATCTTTAACAAAATAAAATAATAACATAAAAGCAAGAACAAGAGACTTAATATCTAAACATAATCAAAGTTATCCCGGAGTAAATATTGACATGGTCGCATACCTCCAAACAATGAACCGTGCACATTCCCGGCCGCATCCACCGTAAACTTCACCGGAATATCGGGGCAAACCACCGAAAAGAACGCATGTGCATATTCTGCCTTCAACCCTACGATACTCTCGAGACGATAATCCCAAACCACGCTACCGTTAACCACCGGCGTCACCACGTTTCTGAAGTCGACAACTGTAACCGACTCATCNCAAACAATGAACCGTGCACATTCCCGGCCGCATCCACCGTAAACTTCACCGGAATATCGGGGCAAACCACCGAAAAGAACGCATGTGCATATTCTGCCTTCAACCCTACGATACTCTCGAGACGATAATCCCAAACCACGCTACCGTTAACCACCGGCGTCACCACGTTTCTGAAGTCGACAACTGTAACCGACTCATCAGTTTTCCCGAACCTAACATGTCGCCCGAAACCATCCAAGGACGGAGATGCCAGAGAGATAACATCTTCGCCACGAAGGAGACGCGACGTGACTGTATGGAGAGAGAGTTTACAGCAAGAGACTGGACTCTTGGCAACCAAACCGGTTTTCCAATCAGCGGTTGAAACGTTTGCGGCGTTTGAGACGGAGATGGAGTGAGCAAAGAGCTCTATGTAACAGTGGAATTTGCTGCCGCTGTTGACAGATCTTAAAAAATTTACGTAGGCGAAAGGGATTAGGAAGAAGATCATACTGCTAATGAAGTAGTGAGAGCAGCAATATTTTGGAGTAATCTCGATCTGACGACGGTCGTTTCGGGCGCGTGGCTCGGTGGTTTCCATGTTATAATTTTTAATTAAACACTTTCTGAAAATTTAAACTTAGTTAGAGGTTTAATGTATTATATAGAAAGCTGGAATTTTTTATAAAAGGTTTTTTCATAGTAGGATAAATCTCCTATTGCTGATAAATTCCCCACAGCAAATCTAAAGGGATTTAATTAAGAGCATCGTTATCATATAATTATAGTATATTTTGATTATATATTTAAAATGAAAAGAACTGAACCAATATGAAAAAAGACAGTTTGCTTTCGAATCTCTTAACGATAAGAGACATCTCTCCCATAAAAATATTATCCTATTAATTCTCTTAATCCTTTATATAAGTAAATATGTCTATAAACAATTAAGGATAAAAAATATAATAATTATCTGGCTAATTAAAAGATATATTTCAGTACTTATAATCACAAGTGTTATGTAGAACACTTCCAATGAGAAGATTCTTCAGAAATATCTAAGTAAATTTTTAAAAATAAAAAATAAAGAGAGAAATTGATAAGAGTTTTTTTTTTCAAATGAATGTCCAGTTGCAAGTTGTGAATGTTTTTTCTATTGAAAATAAAATTTAATTACTTCTTTATGTTATATGTAAGATTAATACTCTTAGATAGAAATTGATATATATTGAATTATTGATATATGGGACGGAGAAGAATAAAACAAAACGTATGGATTAATTATTAACAGAAAATAAAACATGAAGATGAAAAAGAAATCAGAAGGCTAATCGATTTATCCAATTGTATCTAGTTGTCTAAATAAAGAAAACAACTCTAAATGTGTAAAATAGGATTCACATATAATCCTCCCACGGCCTCGAGCCACATTTTGGCAACGTATATTAAAGTGTCCAGCCTCATCGTGACCCACGTAACGCATATGCTTCGCCCCCGAGTTTGACGACAAGCTCCCCTGCAACCACGTCACTTCGATTTCCCTCAGCAACGAAAAACAACGAGAAAGCAGTGTGGTCTTTAGAAACAGGCTGACTAGTGATGTTTAAAACGGCAGCGTATTGAGAACCGAGCCTCACGGCAGCGTCATCGCTTTCGTAGTAGATAGAATACATCGGGCTAGGATTTTTCATGAGAAAATCGCCTTGCCACGTGGCGGAGGAGACGGCGAGGGACTGTAGGGAGGTTTTGGCGTGGACGTGAGCTTTGTCGATCAACACAAAGATTAAGAACAGAACGACAACGGTGAAGAAGCCGCCGCAAGAGGGTGCACACATTGCCGCACATTCCATGCCTGTGGCTTCACGTTCACTAGCTCGCGGGATAGTCATCATTGGTCGTGACCACCACGGACGAGGAGCGACGGAGGACGGTGGGGTTGTGTCAAAGGTGGGCTGGAAAGCCATGTTTATTATTGTTGCTTTGGACTCTGGAGAGAATAATGAGATTTGATGTTACCTTAGCATTACTTATATATATATAGAGAGATTATTGGAAATTAATTGTATATTTATTTTATGGTGGATAATATAGAAAGTCTGTTAGATAAAAAAAAGGTAGATAATTATTAATATAAAGATACATACAATGTATATGTTTAATTATCATAAAATTAATATGTGATATATAATTTCTTTATTTATAAATAATATAAGTATGTTATATCTATAATAGATAAATATATATGATATTCTATTTTGTTATTGAAAATAATGAATGATAATTACTTTAATTAATGATCTACTCTATTAAAATAGAGTCATTCTTTTTATCTACTGATATAAGTTGTCATTTAAATTTGGACCCTTTCTAGTGTGTTACAAATAATACAAGTCATATAGTTGATTGAAGCACATTACTTAAATTAAATCGGTAGTTATTTATGGAATAGAGTTTTGGGCTTATTTTTGTTTTTATGACAAATTATATAGTTTAGGTTTTGGGCTTAGTATTAAAGAAAAACTCCAAAAAAACATTGAATAAATGTTCTACCTTAATGGATCAAAAAAAATCAGTTACTATTTTAAGACCCAAAAGTATTTAATATTTTAACAAAACAAAATTATATATTACTAATCACTTATTTAAATTATGTACTTTAAAACATGTTAATATTTTTTATTTTAAATAACAATCACTCTGTCTTGATAAATTTCAATGGTAACTTTTATAATAGTTTATTTTTTTATTTTTCTTAAATAGTTTAATGATTTTTTTAAAAAAATGTAAAGCAAAACTAAAAACCAAATCTAAAAATTAAAATCCAAAACCAAAAGCTGAAAACGCATGTTATATTTTTGCTTTTGTTTTGTTTATTTACACAAAATATACTATTGCATTTTTTAAAATAAAAATTCTCATCTTTTCAGTTTATTTAAATTAGATGTTTGATTCTTTGGGATTTGTTTGTTGGTAATTATGAGTTCAAACTAAAAGCTGAAAATCAAAACTAGAAACTTAAAAATTAAAAACCAAAAACCAAAATCTAAAACCAAATCTAAAAATAAAAACTGAAACTAAAAGCTAATGCAAAGCAATCATCACCACAAATTTTGGATTACTAATTTTATACCAAAACATACTTTAAATAAAGACAAAATTTAATTATATAAACTTTTAATCAAAAAAAATTTCCGGGTCAAAATCTAGTTAATATTAAAATACAGCTTTCGATTTTAATCAGGAACCAAAACAACAAACAAAGGAAATAAGATAACCTAACGCCAAGAGTTTTTTTTTTTTTTTTTGATAATCCAGAGGTTCCCCACTTACATGGATCATTCCTCTGTGCCCGGTTAGGCATCAGTCCACTTTCACCCGGGAGGACTTTAAACCTGGGCTGAGGACAAGGCCCAACACCCAATACCGCATTGTTATGACATGGATGGGTAGTTCGCCTTCCTGTGGCGTCGAACCCGGGGGCATGACTATTGGCCTCCAAGATTTTTACCACCAAGCTACACCATCCCGTCCTAACGCCAAGAGTATTACGGAGTAAATATTCACGTTCAGATTCTGCATTCAACTCAACCGACGACACTCTCCACACGATAATCCCAAACCACGCTGCCAATAACTCCCGGGGTCACCACCTTTTTGAAGTCGACAACTGTTCATCATTTTTCTCGAACGTAACAAGTCGTCCAAAATCATCCAACGACGGAGATGGCAGCTAGATAACCTAGTTGCCAATCAGCGGTTGTAACGTTTCGACGTTTGAGATGTAGATGGAGTAAGCAAAGAGGTCTATGTAACAAGCAGGTTTGCCGTCGATAAGACATCCTGTTCTAAATTTCTTTTCTTCATTATAAACATGCCATATATATATACATTCAAATATAGTAATTTATATAATAATGATTCACTTTTGAAGCTCCTAAGGCTATCCACATCAGCAGCCGAGTGGGTCTCGCGTATTTAAATTTTAAAAGCTTATAGTTTTTTTAAAATGACTATGAACAATGAATACACTTTAGCAAAGTGGTATAAACATTTAATTAAGTCTGCAAGTGTGTGGGTTCCACTTATTGTTTAAAGCCCAAAATAGTGGAAAAATCCTAAAGTTTGACGAACTCAAACCCAAAACAATTAAAAATGGATAAAAAAACGAATATCAAAAAAAAAGAAAAAAAAAACGAGTCTCACGCGGCACTATCATGTCCTAATATATATTTTTACTGTTAGAACATATTTCCTAATATATATTTTCAAAAAATTATGTATGTGAAATAAAATAAAATAAATAGTTTTGTTATTTATAAAATAACTATGTAATTTCTCTTCAATTTTTAATAGTTACTATAATCTATATAATAATGATTCACTTTTGAAGCTCCTAAGGCTATCCACATCAACAACCGAGTGGGTCCCGCGTATTTAAATTTTAAAAGCTTATAGTTTTTTTTTTAAATGACTATGAACAATGAATACACTTCAGCAAAGTGGTATAAGGCATTTAATTAAGTCTGCAAGTGTGTGGATTCAAACCACGCAGCTGTTATGTATTTTAGTTTTTTCGTTTGGATTATTATCATATGGGCCTTTTAGTTTTAATGTTTTAATGTTTTTTTCCTCTAGACTTATTGTTTAAAGCCCAAAATAGTGGAAAAATCCTAAAGTTTGACGAACTCAAACACAAAACAATTAAAAATGGATCAAAAAAACGAATATCAAAAAAAAAAAAAAAAAAAACGAGTCTCACGCGGCACTATCATGTCCTAATATATATTTTTACTGTTAGGACATATTTCCTAATATATATTTTCAAAAAATTATGTATGTGAAATAAAATAAAATAAATAGTTTTGTTATTTATAAAATAACTATGTAATTTCTCTTCAATTTTTAATAGTTACTATAATTTCATTTTTATCAGACTCCGGTGGATGGATTTCCACAGTTGATGACGCCGTAAAGAAAAATACCACATTATTCATGAACAAAATCTAAACTTACAAAAAAAGATATCCAAACCTATCTACTGGAACCCAAACAACAAATATTAGCTTACATTAAAGTTATTTTCAAATTGATAAATCGTTTAGTACAAATATAAATATTATAAATAAATATTTATATCAAATTTTGACATCCGATATAAAAACTATTTCCAACATAAAAAAAACAATATAGACATCTATTTTTATACACTAAAAACTATATTATAATTTAGTTATTTCTATAAACCTTATTTCGCATATAAATAACATTTAACACATTATATATACAATATTTTCATCATTATTTGGTATTATTAGAATAACCCACTAAACTAGCAACCGAAAAAAAACATAGATCCCGTCTCCACGCTTGCGCGGGGGTTATGCAGCTAGTACAATAAAAAGTTAAGAAATAAAACTTGGCGGACTAGTTCGTAAAATAAAACTAAACAAGAAACTAGAAGCCCAATTTAAGTTTCAATTGTCCCTCGTCTTACTCTTGTTAAATGAAGCAACTTAAAATGTGTAAATAAGGATTCGCATATAATCGTCTCACGGCCTCGAGTCACGTTTTGGCACCGTATATTAAAGTGTCCGGCTTCATCATTATCCACGTAACGTTTATGCTTCGCCGGGAGTTTGATCTCAAGCTCTCCTGAAACGACGTCGCTTCGATTTACCTCCTCCTCAGCAACGAAAACCAACGAGAAAGCCGTGTCATCTCTAGAAACACGTTCACTAGTAATGTTCAAAACGGCCACGTTTTGAGAACCTAGCATCACTGCAGCGCCATCGACGTCGTAGTAGATAGAATACCTCGAGCTCGGGATTTTCACAAGAAAATGGCCTTGCCACGTGGCGGAGGAGACTGCGGAGGACTGGAGGGAGATTTTGGCGTTGATGTGAGCTTTGTCGATGAACGAAAAGATTAAGAACACGACGATAAATGTGAGTAAGGCGCCAAAGTTGGGTGCACACATAGCCGCAAATTCCTTACCTGCGCTTGGACGTTCGTTAGGATCCGGCACAGTTACCATTGGACGTGACCACCACCGACGAAGAGCGACGGAGAACGGTTGCGTTTGATGAAAGTTGCTGGTTTGGTAAGCCATATTTCTTTTTGTTGGTTTGGACTTTTGGAGACAAGAATGAGATTGATGCTACGTTATCACTAATTATATGAGAACAAAAAAGATAGTCACTAATTATATATATAGAGATTAATAATGGAATTTCGATCTCCCTTTTTATGCAAAGTGGATTTCATTTCTTTTTTTTCCTTTTTTATATCAATATATTTGATAATATTTAATAAAATTATATCTCAAATACGTTTAACTTATAAAAATATTTTGATATATATCAAATAATATAATAAAACAATATGAAATTTGAATTTAAATATAAATTCTTTAACTAATGTATGTACTGTAAAATCAACTATTTTTTCTTTTACAAAATATATTTTCAAATAGAGAAATCTAACAATAAACTTTTTATCAATTAATAATTCTATAAATTAATTCATAGATTTTTTACTGAGTACAGTTTTTTTACTTTTCTATAAATAGATTAGATGTAACTGACATAAAACTAGAGCTATTCTTTTGTTTCTAACTCAGAAAACAGAATTAGTTTTAACTTTTTATTTTGTAACACCGAGATCGGAACTAATACAGGAGACTGTGTCGTATATTTGGTAAAAGAAAGAAATAAACCCTCACTTGTTTAAACCGTAAATAAATCAAAGCATTAGTGAGTGATATAGAACGATAAAAAGATTAATCATGACTAAAAATACAGCTTTCGCTTTTAATCAGAGCATGATTATTGCAGGTCCATTAAGCTCGGTCCCTTAGCGTACAGTCCCTTAGCTTTTAACTGAAAACGCTAAGGGACATCCCTTATATAAGGGATTTAAGGGACGTCTCTTAGCATTTTCAGTTAAAAGCTAAGGGACCGTACGCTAAGGGACCCAACTTAAGGGACCTGCAATAAACATGGTCTCAGGAACCAAAGCTACAAAGTTACAAACAATGAAAATAAAATAAACATGAAAGCCAAGAACCGTAGACTACTTATATCTAAACATAATCCAAGTTATCCTGGAGTAAATATTCGCATCGTCGCATACCTCCGAGCAACGAACCAACCACATTCCCTGCCGCATCCGCCGTAAACTTCACCGGGATATCGCGGCAAACCACCGTCAAGAACCCATATGCAAATTCTGCCTTCAAACCGACGACACTCTCCATACGATAATTCCATACCACGCTGCCGTTAACTAGCGGTGTCACCACCTTTTTGAAGTTGACAACTGTAACCGGCTCATCAGTTTTCTCGAACATAGCAAATCGTCCAAAATCATCCAACGAGGGAGATGCCAGCGAGATAACCTCATCGCCACGAAGGAGACGCGATGTGACTGTATGGAGAGAGAGATTACACCTGGTGACTGGACTCTTCGCGACCAAACCGGTAATCCAATCAGCGGTTGTAACGTTTGCAGCGTTTGTTGCGTTTGAGACGGTGAGGGATTGAGCAAAGAGCTCTATGTAACAAGCATGTCTGCCGTCGAGAAGATAACTCAAGCCTCTAACGGTGAGAGTGAAAACGAATACGAAAATAATGATAGAGAAGTAGCAAGAGCAGCAATATTGTGGAGTAACCTCGAGGGGGCTATGGTCCTGGCCGCCAGAATCGGTGGTTGAAGCGTGCTCGATAGACATTGACATGTTAAAATTCTCAACCTTTTGTGAAATTCTAGACATTCGTTAAAGGATTCATATGTATATATATATATATACATATATATATATATATATATATAGAGAGAGAGAAAGCTCCGTTTTCTTAGAGAGAATTGTTTAAATAATAAGATTTCAGGTTTTAATTGTCCCAGTATGACCTTTTCATTTTTCTTTGTCCATGTTGGACATGTGTTACCTTTTTAAAATGAAAAAAAATGTTGCATATATATTTAAAAGTCCAAAAATATAAAATTTATTAGAAACACAATTAAACATATTTTATGGTTTGTTTTTCCAAGAAGCATATTCAATTTAGTTTTGTGTTTTATTTTATTTTTCTGTAATGTTAAAAAGGTTTTTAATTAACACTTAATTTGATTTATCAGAGGATAATTTTGTATTATATAAATCCTAATCTCTCAATTATTGAATAAGTCTTATTAAAACGACATCAACTTAATTCTGTCCTATTTTAACAACTCTTTTTACATAAGTTTTTTTTTCACACTAGAAGAAATCTCTTATTGTTAAGAAATGTCCCTCATTGGATATATAAGGCAGCAGTACTAGTATAATAATAATTTAATTTAGTTTTATAATTAAGACTGAAAATAAAGAGGATGTTAGTGGGAATTGAATTCATTAGGATTCTTAAAATATTCAAGCCTTGTGTTATTGGTTTATTGATTCTTATATTTTTATTAAAGTTTAGTGTTATTGATTTGATGATTTTGTAATTCTATACAAAATTCTTTGTTATTTGTGGAAGCACTGTAGCCTAGTGGTTAAGGTATAAAGGCTTCTACATCAGGTTTGAGGTTTGAATCTCAGGCTATGTAGTTTATACACCAGGAGGGTTTCAGTTCCCGAAGAAGGTGAATGGAGAATTATGCAGATTGAAGAAAAAACTTACAAGAGATCTTCAGCATGACGCAAGACGTACCATCAGGAATGGATCTCATATGGCGGTTCAGGGTGATGCAGTCAGATGTGAAGCCGCATAAGGCAGGTAGAATTGTCGGTTGTAATATCGCCTATGTAATTATTCATAGTTTGTAATGCATAAATATCTAGTGTTAAAAAATAAATTATTTGTTATTCAAAAAATTTAGATTTTAATGATTCTACAAATCTATTAAAGTAAGTGTTATTGAGAGTTATATTTTTAACATTTTAACTTACATAACAAGATTTTGAGAATACTACATATATCCCTTGGATTCTTAAAATCATTATAATACTTTAGTGTCATATATTTTCACAATATACTATTCACTGTCTGCTAGTAGTTCCATCAAAACAAATTTGAGAATTAAATATATAGAATTTTTAGTTAGAATGTAAAGAAATGATGTACACAAAAAAAAGTAAAAGAAAAAGCACAACCGTTATATGAGAGAAAGACAAAAATGTCTAAAAATGTCTAAAAATATCACATCTAAAGCATAAAGTACCTCTCAAGTCAAAAATGTCTTTATGTGTAAACAAAACTCATAATGTGCCCTATTATGTAATGTACTCACACACACACACACATAAATTCAAATAACATTTGTTATCTTTTCTATTAAAAGAGAAGTACCACATTTATCTACTATTTAAAAGTCATATTATTAATTCTTTAATTTGACCTATTTAATTGTTACATTAACCATTCAAATATATATTATTTTCAAAATATCTTAATAACTAATAAATATATTATTAATAATAAATTTATAAATAAGAAAATCTGTTAAAAAAATCTAACAAGATCTTACCAAAAAATTTAAATGTTTTTTTATAAAATAACTATTTCTTTATTCGTTGCTAAATATAATTATAATTAAAACTAAAATATAAATCATATAAAAATTTTAGTTATATATTTATAAAATAAAAAATATATCCGTGCGGGCGAAACTCTAGTGTAATTTTAAAAGCAAGGCATACATAAACTTTGTTCTCGGCCCAGTATTCAAAACTCAAAGGCCCAATGATTTTCCCTCACTAAAGAAACTGAAAATGCGTTCTTCCGACACTGACGTATTCGATGACGTAAGGACAAAGGAAGCTCCACCTGAGATTCTTCTTCAGGTATCAGAAGTCACTAAACACGTCAGCCTTCTCCTCTCTCTGCATATATATATAACCACTCCTGGATTCAATTTTTCCAAGAACAAGAACCAAAAAAACTAACCAAGAAGAAGAAAAGAAGATCATTTGGAGACTGAATCGCTAAAAATGTCAGGGATAGAATCTGCGTACAGACAAGGCAAGAAGGTGGTGGTGATCGGCGGCGGAATCGCCGGCTCCCTCGCCGCGAAACTGCTTCAGTTCGATGCTGACGTCACCCTCATCGATCCGTAAGTTGTTTTTTTTTTCTTTTTTCTTACAAAAGTCATAAAACACCAACTTAATCTCATATCATCATCATTACCAAATCAGGAAGGAGTATTTTGAGATCACGTGGGCGAGCTTGAGATCAATGGTGGAGCCTTCTTTTGCAGAAAGAACACTTATCAACCACAAGAACTATTTGAAAAACGGACGTGTAGTTACTTCTCCGGCGGTCAACATCACCGAGAGTGATGTAATGACCGAAGATGGAGCTGTTATTGGATATGATTATCTAGTGATTGCTACGGGTCACAACGACTTGTTACCCAAAACCAGACAAGAGAAGCTCTCACAATACCAAACAGGTAACGATGATCTAAACCCTCATGCTTGTAAGAAACTTAGGACACAAGACTTGGTTTTTTTTTTTAAACTAAAAATATTCAACCTAAAATGAAATAAAGTTATTATTACAAGCAAAATTACTCAACTCACTTGTTTCCTAAATAGCTTGAAGCATTTGCTCAACTTTGGACACAAAACTAGTTTTGTCTTTACTTAATTGATTTCTTGTTTGGTTGCAGAATATGAGAAGATCAAATCTTCTGAATCAGTTCTGATTGTTGGTGGAGGACCTTCTGGTGTTGAGCTAGCTGCTGAAATAGCAGTTGACTTTCCGGAGAAGAAAGTCACATTGGTGCATAAAGGACCAAGATTGCTTGAGTTTGTTGGAGAAAAGGCTTCTCAGAAAGCATTTGATTGGTTAGCATCAAAGAAAGTGGAGGTGTTACTGAACCAGTCCGTGGATTTGAGTTCAGCTTCAGATGGAAACAAAACGTATAAGACTTCGAGAGGTGAAACAATACACGCAGATTGCCATTTCCTCTGTGTTGGGAAGCCTTTGTCATCTCAATGGCTTAATGGGACTGTTTTGAAAGATAGCTTGGATGGTAAAGGAAGAGTCATGGTCGATGAGCACTTAAGGGTTAAGGATCGAAAGAATGTATTCGCTGTTGGAGATATCACTAATATCCCTGTAAGTTCACAAGACCATACCATTTTTAGTTTATTTACATAGTTTAATCTTGTTTTTGATTATATAATGTTTTTTTTTTGAGTTTTGTTATGTTAGTATCTTGTTTTGATTATATGTTTTTTGTTGTTGCTAATGACAGGAGATGAAGCAAGGATATATAGCGGAGGCTCATGCCAATGTGGCTGTGAAGAACATTAAGGTAATGATGTCGGGTGGGAAGAAGAAGAAGATGTCGACATACAAGCCTGGATCAGAGATGGCCATTGTTTCTTTAGGAAGAAAAGACTCGCTGGCTCAGTTTCCTTTTGGGACAGTCATTGGTTGTCTCCCTGGTTTGATCAAGTCGAAGGATCTATTTGTGGGGAAGACTAGGAAGACAAGAGGGCTAGACCCTAAACGTGTTCAAGATTGAATCCTTTACTCTGTTTCAGAGGTTTCATCTTGGGATAAAGATCGATGCTTTTGTGCACAGATGTAATGTAGTCATGTTTGTTTGTTTTTGTTGCTGTTGTTTTGTGTGTTGGTTTGCTTTATTTTGTTTGTGTATTTTTGATATAATAGTGGCTATTATTTGAGTTCCAGTTTTTGACTTGCATTGCGAATTTTCTTCCAGTTCAATTGGAAAAACTAAACCGGGAAAGTCAATGTATATGATGCATTACTTTACTCGCAAACTTACTGGTTTTTTTAATGTAATGTTTTGATTGTTTCATTTGGCTCTTAGACCACCTCCATCGGTGGTGCTAATTAGAGGTTCTACATAAAAAAGGCCAGAAAAATAAATCGAAAATGAAATAAAAGAGCAAAACCGGTTCTGAATATAGCACTTTCAGAATTAGTAAAAACCCCATATGTGTCTCTTTGTTATTGGCCAAAATAGAAAAGGGGAAAGTTTGACCTTCTCTTTCTTCCTCGTTCGTTTCTTTTTCTCGAGAAAGTGACGGAGAATCAGTTTCACGATGTTATCCTACACGTCGCGTTGTACTGCTCTATCAGATTCATCTCCACAAATCTGAAGTCGCTTCTCACCCTGCTCCTCCTCCTTCTCTCGTAATTTCTCTCACTTTTTCAGTTTTTGCTTTTCTTGATTCGATCGTTAAAATTCTCTGGTTGCTTTTCTGCTGGATCACGATTGAATTCGAGTTTCTAGGGTTTAGGATCATCTGAATTTTTTGATTCATCGATTTTTCCATGTGGAGATGGTGGTGAATTCTTGTTTTAGTGATCCCAAAGTCTGTGAGAAGAGATCTAGAGAGGTATGATATAATCAACGTGATGATCAATATGATGGAGCAGCAAAGAGATGGAGACTCATTCAAGCTCACAACGGATCATCTTAAAGGAATGATCTCGGTGCTGTTTCTTTTTTTCTTCTCTGTTTCAGTTTTGAGAAAGATTGATCAAAGACTTGTAACTCAAATCCAATTATTCAACTTTAAAAAAAAATTTAAGAACCTCTAAGAGGTTCTCCCAATGGACCATAAAAAAATAATTACACTAACAAAGGTTCTAGATTTTTCAAATCACACAATTAACTATTAAATTAGTTAATAGAACCCCTAATGAGTTCTTACCAATGGAGTTGCTCTTAGGTGATATAACCGCGCAGTACTTTGTGTGGTTCTATTGTTTGCTACCTCTGACTCTACCGTGGAGCTGTATGAAGCTGAAAATGGGAAGCCTTGTTATGCATCGTCATGTGAATTGGAGCTCAGACACATTGGCTCTTGTGGGCACACATGCTGGAGTTCAGGGGAGTTAACGTCTTTCTACAGCTGTGGATGGTTAGTTTGGTGTTTCTGGCTGCAAACACATTCTACTCGTCAAAATCATTGAGCGCCATCGATTTTCTCCTCTCTTTAGAGATTATGGCTCAAAGACTTTACAAAACTCGAATGGTATCCAACATATTGTTTGATTTCAAGGATAGGTCTCTTGTGGTGATTACTAGTGACTTTAAACCGGTGAAACTAGGTCTAGGATTTTCAACTGAACTCGCCAAACTAGTCCACTTAGAAGTTTGATTCAATAATTCTTTTAAAATAATTTGGTTTTAGTTCGGTTTGACAATCAATTATTTTAGTTTTCTTCAGTAAAATGAACCGAAAATAACTGAAACATCTTATATATTAAAATAGAAATTATGTTTCACTTGATGTGTGATTTTTTTTTAGTTGGATATTCTTTAGATATTTATAAATATATTTTTTAATATTATGTTTAGAAATTATGTTTTATCTTATTTTATAATTATAATCTATCATATTAAAATAATTGTTATACTGAATTAAATACGATAAAAGTATATTAAATTAATAATTAATATATTTTATTTTTTATGTTATTTCATGTATATATTAATCTAATTAATAAAAATGTAAATTTATTAAAATAAATATATAATAAAAAGAGAAATATATGTGACGGTTTATAACAATTAATTAAGTTTAACATCTAAAATTATTATATTTTAAATAATTGCAAACCTTTAAACATATGTTTAACGTTAATATATATATAATATAAAAATGAAAATTAACATCCGCGCGGTTACGCGGATTAAAATCTAGTAGTAATCTAATTTATCTAAAATTTTAACAAAATTAAATCAAAAACTAACTGAAGTCAAAAACTTTGGTAGAATTTTCAGAAACCCAATTAACCAAAATTTAATTTGGGTCAAGTCATTAAAATTTATGTGGAACCGAATTAACCGAAATCCGGTTCCAATCGATTTAAAAACCAAACTAGATTTCCTTTTACGGAAACAGAGTCATCGTGTGAAAGTCTCTGAAAGCATCAGACTTTGCAGAGAGAGAGACCTAAAACTATGGAGAAGAAACATGAAAACCAAGACGAACCCAATTGGAGCGAGCGTGTGGAGGATCTCGTCGCATCCGGAGACATCACAGCAGCGATCTCGTTTCTCGAATCTTTGACGACGAATCTTCAATCACGGCTCTGTTCTTCTTCTTCTCCCTCATCGTCAACGGAGTTAGGGCTTCAATTAGCATCCGCTCTGACCCAATTGGCGAATCTCTACTCTTCTCAGGGACTCTCCCTCAAATCAGATGAGCTTCTGACTCGTTCCTCCCTCGTAAAGCAACGAGCTTTGGATTCCGATCTTACCTCTTCTAGGTATTAGCTTCTTTTGGGTTTATCGAGAAATTAGAGGAGATTGTGTAAAACGTGTTGCTTTGATCGAAAGATAAAAACTTTTCTATGCTTTATATCGAAAGCTAGAAACTTTATATGTTTTATGATTGCAGAGGTTCCTGTGATGCAGAGAATCAGAAGAAAGCTAATGATTCCAATGTTGATGGTTGTTGTTCATCTAGTGAACGTCCCTTGAATTCCACAAAGGATGATGCTTCAGATGATGGTATGTTGTGACGACTTGTGAGTTAAGAGGATTCAGTTACTTTTGAGGTGTTAGATGGGAATGTTTACATTGCAGATTGGGAAGCTCTGGCAGATCGTGAGCCGAGTACGTTACTCTCTGTAGAAGAGTTGCCTCAGATATCTAAGCTTTCCGTTGAAGAGCCTAAAGTGGAAGGGCCTAAGAGGCGTGGAAGGGGAACTTTTACGTATAATAAGGATGTGATGTATAGTGAGTCGAGGTTTGAGGATTCAGGAGATAATGATATGTCTCGTGGTGGCTCAGAGAAGAGTGATGAATCACTGAAAGGTATAGGCATTTAGTTCTTTAATGTTTTACTGGTTTAAAGCACCAGGCCTGAGTTTCTTTCTTGGTATAAAATGTAGCCAAGTATGGCACACGACATGTCCTCGTGCTTGCTGATTTTTCTCCGAATTTGAGGACTACTGATCTGGAGAGGCTTTTTGTGGACTTTAAAGACAGTGGATTTCTTATTCGTTGGGTTAATGATACAACAGCACTTGCAGTCTTCAAAACTCCTTTAACTGGTACTTATATGTTATTTGATTTTCTCCATTCATTAGGAAGATTTTTCTGTGTCTAAACCCACTTTAACATTTCAATCTGATAGCTTAATTGAGAAGGTTAGTGTCGTGATAGTTAATGCTCAAATGTAAAGTAAACTGAGATTACATATCAGACTAGAGCTTAAACCTAAGACGCTAACTTGATGTGGTTTTGATGATTGGGTACAGCTCAAGAGGCTTGCAAAAGTGTTCAGTGTTCATTCACCATACGTCTTCTTGAAGATCAAGATTCTCTTTTGGGCTCAATATCTGGAAAAGGTAATTATTCTCTGTTTTAATCAGAGTTAATCTTTTTCACCTAAATACATCATTCTTCCTTAATCCACTGGATCAAGCTTGCTTATCAATGAAACACCAAAACACATATAGACCAGGTGAAATGTTGTTGCTTTTTTTTTTCCTTATGTGTGACCATGTTTTGTTCAAATCTACTACAGATTTGGAACCACCGTCTCAAAGACCAAAGACATCAGCGAGAACAGCACAAAGGTTGATAGCTCACAGCATGGGATTGAAGCTACCAGCTTCTGGATTCGGGTCTAAAGAGCTACGAGACCAAGAAGCTGCCAGGAAAAGCCGGATTGTCTCCAGGCAGAAGCAAAGGGACGATGCTTGGGGAGATGACTGACATTGGCCGGGCCGTATGGTCAAGTTTTATGGCTTACCAGCTTTATCAATTGTGTGTGCTTAATGGTGGTGTATACATACAAGATTACAAGCCTCAGTCTCCACTTGAGTTGATTATTTCATTAAGGCATTTGTTTGTAATGTTTTTGTGTGTTGAATTGAATCATTTGGAAAGTGGTTAATGGCATCAGCAACACCCAAGTCTTGATATGCATTGATGTCCCACAAATTGTATTTTTTTTTAATCTACTTTATATTGTCACCCATTCTTCTATTCATTATCAGTTTGGTCTTAGGACGCTGAGTTGTATATTAACCTCATTAGTAGAAGAATTACAAAAAGATTCATGAAATTATCATTAGAAAACTGGTTACAAAAATTATCACTAGAAAAACGTTTTGTCTCTTGTAAAGCATTTACTCAAATAGTTAACAAACAAAAAAAAACTCGTTCAGGGATCCCAAGATAACGGAGAAGTAGCCTTTTGGTGTGAGTTTAATGAATGTTTGGCCAGCTACTTCAGAAGTGTGACAAGCTATAAACAAGAATCCATGCGAGCTGCAGACCAACATTTTTAAATATATTCTATTACCAAGAATAGAGTTAAGATACGAAGAGACCCTCTTGGTATTACACTTCCATAATTTTTTTCTACAATCTAAGACTTTTGGTTTCCTTAGTTATAGTGGTCAACATTCATTTACAATTTTAGTTTATCTGATCTGATCTTAAAAATTTACCTATTTTCGACACTGAATTCTTATCCGATCATAGATTTAGTTGGTCTATATTTTGCTATTACCTTATTTATCACACAAAAGAAACTATAAATATTACACTTTGGGTCTTTTAAGTCTTTAGATGCAAAAAAAAAAAATGAATCATCTCAGTATTTTATTGTTAGTTATTGCTATATGTTTTGGTTTTAAAGAAACTTCCGGATGCGCTCCAAACATTTTACAATTTAAAAACAAGATTGCACCAGGTCAGACTCTCCTAGTCAGCTGCTGGAACAACAGAGGCGAAATGAAAGGTGTCGAGACACCTGTGGAATTCAATACAATATACAACTTTCCGGTTGAGGAGAAAGGAAAAGGGAGAGTAGTATGGAAATGTGAATTAAAGAATCGGAAGGGTACAAAGTTTGTTGTATTACGGAGGGCATATAGAGGAGCTGCCAGAGCTCGATGTGGTCAGATACGAGAATACATTGCTGGACCTGATGTTGTTTCCTTGGTGAAAAATACGAAGCCGACCGATCAATTTTTTCATTGGTGAATAATGTATTTTTTTTTCCTTGGTGCCTTGTGAGTTTAAGTCATTTTATAAAATTTGGAGTTGTTATTATATAAAAGAATAGTATTATATCAATCTTCTGAAGAGTAATAATGTATTATATCAATCTTCTAAAGAATAATAGTGATAATGAAGTATATGTTTATATTTGATATCTATTTTGTATCAATCTTTTGATTTATATCACACTACTTTTTTCTTTTACTTATATATGAACTTTCTCTTTTAAAAAGTATCTTCATTTGAATATTCTCTTTAAAGACAAAAATAAAATTAAGCACACTGTGGTAGTTTTCATTGGACGAGGAATCACCATATTGATTCAGGCCAGTGATCGATTTCTCTCTAACTTGAGATTACTTGTTCCACGTGTGGGTAGACATAGTGGATTTTTAACTCCACTTAGAACCGGTTCATAAGAGCAATGATTATCAGATTTCTGTATGAACCTTTTTAGGTATGGGTATTCCGATATCCGTTCGGATACGGGTTGATTCGAGTTTTTCAGGTTTTGAAATCAAGACCTACTCAGCTATTAATAATTTATGGGTCGGGTTCGAGTCGGATTCTCTCAAATTCAGGTGGGTTCGGATCTAATGCATAGGAACTTAAAAATAACCAAATAACTAATGTATCTGAAATAGGTTAGGTGATTTGTACCCAAAGTAACCATATTACCTGATATGATTCTGATTTTTGTATCTAAACTAACTATTTTACCTAGATATAACCAAAAATACTCGTTAGATACAATTTTGTATGGGTATTTTATATCAGAAATATCATATTTTTCTAAATATACTAAAAATAACAGAATAATTAACATATTTAGTTTATAATTTTAATTTTAAATTATTACGATAATTAGAAATAATATTTTCAGATACATATTTATATTTCAGGTATTTTGGATACTCTTTCTATTCTTGGTTCGGGTTGGATTCGGTACCGGTTCTTCGGGTATAAAAGTTTAGGATTCATTCGGTTATTACCCCGGATCTCACTCAGCTTGTCTCTTGTGACTAACCTCTGCCACATGACCGTCCAAGTAATGAATGCATGCTTTGGTATTTTATGTTTAAACCACACGAAAGCATGCCAAGAGACTGGAGGAGAGGGATTCAAAGCATGTAAGGTTTTTGAAACTTAGAACGTAGAAGGAGCATCAGAAGCTGAGTTTCTCCACAGATAGAGGTCTGATTCCGAGGAGGTAATATCCGAAATCTGCTGGGGGAGGCAGGATCTAAGCAAGCATAATAGAGGATGCCTGCTTCCCGAAACCCACCAGCCATTACGCGATACCACATAACCAAGCAAGAATATTGATTCCGGATACTAGTGGACATTTGGGACCAGTGAGCTCCAGCAAGTTATCTAGGCATGTCCAATCATCATGCCAGAAGCTATGATCCGAAGTTTAACAAGTTGCTTCCAAATCCAACTTCCAGTATTTGAGAAATCTGACCACCAAAAGAATTCAGACAGGGTGAAAAATGTTGTGATTCATGGAATGTTGAAAATGAGTTCCATGATCAACTTTGTTCCAGGGTGAAAAAGTCTGATTACATAGTTTCAGGGATGAAACATAAGATTGTGTTTATTGGTGTCTTGTATATTTGTTTCATGTCGATCAAAATTTGTTATTATGTTAATTACATTACCACGTTTTAGAGTGGTCTTATCTCTTTGATCCATTTTAGTTTTCATTTTTGAGTATAATAGTATACTAAGCGTGTGTCTCTTATGGGTGACAATGTTATGTTCAAATCTACTTCAGATTTGGAGCCACCGTCTCAAAGACCAAATGCATCAGCGAGAACATCACAAAGGTTGATAGCTTATAGCATAGTGTTGAAGCTACCGACTTCTGGATTCGGGTCTAACGAGCTACGAGACCAAGAAGCTGCTAGGAAAAGCAGGATTGCCTCCAGGCAGAAGCAAAGGGACAATGCTTGGGGAGATAACTGTCACTGGCCGTACCGTACGGTTTGGTTTGGTTTGTAAACTGATACGCGTATGGTTTGGTTTGTCCAATTCTATGGCTTACCGGATTTATCATTTGTGTGTGCCTACTATTGGCGTATACAATTCAGATTAGAATCCTCAATCTCCACTTGATTTGATTATTTCATTAAGGCAAATGATTGTAATGTTTTTGTGTGCTGAGTTGAACCGTTTGGGAAGTGGTTAATGGCATCTGCAGCAACACCAAGTCTTGATGAATTGTTGTCCCAAAAATCATAATTGTTTGATCTACTTTACATTTTTCACCCTTCTTTTAACTTTCATCATCACTTTCTATCATTCAACATTCACATTACAAGTAAACATTTGTTTTAAAGCCTTTTCTTTTTCTTTTTAACTAAAAAACTATAATGAAAGGGTAAATAAATTAAATGTTATGATTTGAACGGAATCAAAGATGGCCCATCCCATTGTGAAAAAAGTTCTTATGAACATACCATTGGTTAGAGAGAAAAAAAAACAAGAAAACATGGTGTGCCTGATCACCAAACAATCAAACATTATATCTTCTCTATTAAAAGAGAAGTACCATTTATATCTACTAAAAAAAGTTATGTTGGACCATCTCATTAATATGACATATTTAAGTATTTATATTAATCAATCAAATATATATAATTGGAGCAATATTTTAATAATAATAAGATATTAGTAATAAATTTGTTGAGAAAATATCTAACAAGATCTTACTAAGAAGTTTAAATATTTTTTTTAAAATATGCATTATTTAATTTCGTGATTAATATATATATATAAATATTGATATTAATTTTAAGTAAAATAAAAATTGTTATATTTCATAATTTACTTATATTCTACACTATATTAAAATAAAATGCTATGTGAAATGAATATAAAATATATTAAATTGGTAAAGGAAAATATTTTATTTTTAAAAATTTGTTTTATTCAAATAAATAAATAAATATCACTCACTTTTAAAACATATTAAATTTTTTAAATCATATAATATTTTTATACAAAAATGTTAACATATATTTTTGTAACTCACAACAAATATATATAAAAAAGTATGAATATTTTTTTATTATAAAACTTACAACAATATATTATATAAAAATAATTAAATTATAAGATTATAAAATTATACAATATATAACAATAGAATGTAAATCATATATATTTGAAAGGTTTTCTTATATTTTTATAAAATGAAAAACATACCCGCACGGATGTGCGGGTTCAAAATCTAGTTTTCTTTACAAAAGGTAAAACAATAAAGCGATGTCTCATCAAAGAAGAGATTACATTCTCCTTAACTACAAAGAAACAGACAATAAATTGTACGGACATCGGATATAACGCAACGTTTTTCCGTACTTCGAACTTTGCCTAACTCTTCATTCTCCAGTCTTAATTCACACTTCTATTTTGCATAAACAAAATTAAAGAAAAACAGTACTCTCTTGCCATCGGCTAACAATTGAAATGTAAATAGTCTGGTGGGAAGACTATATGAGCATCCAGTTGAATATTGTTGTTACAATTTTTATTCCTGAATAAACATTATAAATTACAAAGCTGATGATGTGAAACTACTTGCTTGTTGCTGCTACTTGCGTTGCATGTGGTAAGGTGTAGTTTGATCCTTGCTTCTTTATTTTTTTTTTTAAAAATGTTGAATTAGAAATAAGTTGTAACCACATACAAAATATATTTTATAACAATGAAAGCTGCTTTTTCATCTTTTGATGTATGCCTTCTGAATCCTTATTTGTTGTCGGCCACCTATATATCTTTCCCTACTGGTTTCACCATGCAGCATCTTGATTACCGTGATTCGCTAGACATGTACTCGTTACAAGCCTTGACGGTGAGCATGTCCCTTGACAACCTAGCTACCAAGGATATAACATCCGAGTCAAAATGTAATGATCCATTATACGTATACAGTCTACACAATCAAATATGTAACTGTGACCAACTTATGTTCTTGATTTTAGAGGCGAGACCACTATAGATGAAATGTTACTAGCGTAAAAATGGCAATAATATGCGAAGAACAAGGAACCAAATCTTAAATCTTACAGCCCTCGGGCTCTATCGTGCAAGATAGCTAAGTTAATTCTCAAGAATATGGTGAGTAGACTGTATACAATCCAATCCAATCCGTAACACGTCGTCACACGAAGACATACGAAAATGGCAAATGATTTGGGATCCACAAGACTCACGTGGGAATATATGTTAAGCGTTACCGTACGGATTTGCATGAGATCATATCCTTGTTTTAATTGGATGGTCGAGAGCAGTAGTAAAGTGATAAGATAATTTCTTTAATATTTTTTCTTCTCGAAGAGATAATAAAGAATATTATGAGAAAGATTAAATTCCATCAGGTTGTACACCATTTTGTGGCTGGCTACGTAGGTTGCGTTCACTCCTTTCGAATCACTTCCAATGATTCCTCCAGTTAATCAAACCAATATGAGCCGTTGATCTCACCGCCACTGGAAGGGTGGCTAAAAGGCTTACTACTAGACTATGCATGGTTCACATAACTTTTAACATTACGCGTTAACGTTAGCTTACTAGTTAGAGTTTTTTATACTAAAATGTGCGTTATATGTAGGTATATTTTACTAAAGAAAATGCACTAACGGCTGCTTAATTAACAAATGAGATGCTTTTATATGTTTATGTAATACAAATTTACAAGGTTGGCATCAATTAAGTTTTGCCCTACACTAGTAACTTGGACATCAACTCATCCATTTGGCACACTTGGCATCCTCCGATTTGTCCAATTTGCTACGTTGAAATGGGCTACACATAATGGAAAAATTCCATCCAAAAGAAGAAAAATTCTCCCCCATCTTCTTTGCTTTCTTTTTAATTCCCACTTTGTATTTGTTCTCATTTTCTAAAACATTTAGATAATCAATTAGATAAAGGAAAAACCTTTTTAAATGTTAAATTTGCTTTCAACCATCTCT